TCTCAGCTCTCATTTGACCTACTTTTTGACAAATTTTTTTTTTTAAATTAAACACTATCTACAGATTTGCATCGAAGCGTTTATTTTTGATAGTGATTTTAATCACTGTCAGATATCATTATACTTGATCCAACTATGTCACGTCAACACTGTGCCGCGACCCCCCTGAGCTGGGTTTTTTTTTTTTTATTTATTCAACTTTATTTACTACTTCTGTAACTAGTTCAACGGACGCGGTCATGGTATACCACCTCGTCCTGTTTTTCTCTTTCCATTATTAACGTCAATATGTTCTGCTCATCATGTAACATTGTTGTCTATTAATAAGTACTAATCAACGTTTTTTTTTTTTGACAATTTCCTACACTGTGTTCATGATTTCGTTGATATCTACCTAGTAATGTAAAAATACTTTATTTTATTTTTCAGAGGTATAATACACATTTCATAAAACTATTTTGGCTACTTTTATAACTATATAATAACTGAGTATGTCATTTGAGAAAATACAATAAATCAAAAAATATTATTTATAAAACAAATATTATACAAACATTTTTTTTTTTATAATCTTTTTCCCGAGTGAATTTAAATACTATACAACCTTTTATTTATTGACCGAAAAAATATTTTTTTTATTATTGTATCCTTCTATGAACGGACAAAAATAGTAATACACAAATTAAATCAATGTAATACAAAATATATAGGGAGTATAAAAAATAATTAAAAAATTTAAAAAAATAATTCAACTACTATTTACAGAGCTTTAATAAAAGTTCTGTATTTTTATTAATTTTCAGGCTTAAATCTACTGAAAATTTTTGACCCTATCTACAATGAAATACCGTATAAAACAAACCTAACTATTATAAGTCCATTAGTTAAAAATAAAGCATTTTCTTTAATAAATGGTATTCTAAAAATCCTATACTATTAACTTAATTATAATCAATAAATGCCGTAATAATTTTAGGAAATCACCCCTCTAAATGGCATTTAGAGAAGAAAATGAAAAGGTGATATGTCAGTTCTTTACTAACCTAAGTTTAGCCAACTAGTTGTAAATAAAATTAATTTAATGACAATTATAGTTTTTAAAGTCTTTTAATAAAGAAAAAAATTAGTAGTAAAATTCATATCCAGAACGACAGTTGCAGATCCGAGGTTGGAGCTAAACTAATGAATTAACAAGTTTCCTATTTGTTTTGTAATTTTTGATACTGTTATTATTTTTTGATTGTCATTGAATGTGAAAAATATTATTTTATTTCGACGGCTTAGTACAGAAAAGAGTGAAGTCTATATTTGACGAAATTTGAATTAATTGTGTAATTGAACTAACTTTCTATTAAAACTTATAATGTAAAAGTTCAAAAAATAAAACCTTAATAATTTAGGCAATAAATCGCATTAAAAAAATACAAAACAAATAATAGTAAAACAAATTCAAACTGTTCTTATGAAACTAAAAAAAATGTTGAACTCTTTCTTTGTACCAAGCCATCAATATATACATCATTAATTTTTTCTTTTACTTAATTACTGATTTATAATTTTACTATCGTACCTATTTGTCATAAAATGGCTATTAGTATGTTAAGGTTATTTTACTATTAATAGTAGTTTTGTTTGATCAATGATAAATTGTGATGTTCTTTTTTATTGTCGATATATAATTGATAATATATTAATTTAAATAAATAAAAACACTTATATGAAAGATAAAAAAAGTAATTAAAATTGATAATTATTTATTTGACTAAGCAAAACTATTTTAGAAAGTTTCTAGAGTATTCGAAAAACTTTTTTTTAATCCATTGCACATTTCAAGACGATATATAGAATAATTTAAGCAGGTTCAAATTTTCAAATTCGTTTTCCTCAATTTAATGGATCGTTGGCAAAAAATAAAAAATAAGTTTAAGTTTATACTTAATTTAGAATAGATTCTAGTAACTTTTATGAAAATTAATGACCCCATCACTGTAACCCCCCTAACAGTATTTTAAAATAAAAAAAAATCAACTAGTAGTAAATTTTTTTTAAAATAATAACGGTATTAAATTGAAATTGTAAAAACAAAATGTGCATAACGAAAGTTTAAAATACATTTTATTAAGGAAGTAGGGAGAACACAACCATTTCTATTTTCATAACTATAAATAACGTACAAAATTAAAAGAAATATTTTTTTTTTGATTAGAGATGTCTTAACGCAAAAAATACATAAGTTTGAAAAAAAAATTAGAGGAATTGGTCTCTTAACCTCTTATAATATGGTAATGAAGATTATAATTAATTCTGAGTCATATACAAACAAGTTTTTGTATAACAATTTATAAAATACTATACAAAAAATTTGATGAAGTCATCAATGGCCTAACTAAAGTTTCGTTTAGGGTGACAAACATTTCAATATAAACAAAACAAAATTATGCCTTTATCATTTAACTTTTTTATATTAGTGGAAATATGACACTCATTTCTTCCTCATAATTACACCAATAAGAGTCCTGTGACGTTATCTATCTAAATGAACAATCGGACGAATTATTTTTATGACTAATGATAATAACGTTATTAATTTTTAACTAACTTATCATATTCTCTTGTCATATGTCATATAAAATTAAATGACAAGAATATACTTCATTTGAACACTACATTACTTTAATTTATTATTAGTTATCAACAGAATAACAGACTTTTGGTAGAAAGAGTAGAAGAATTCATTGCACTTAGATAAAGTAGTGTTAACCCGGAATATTTTATCAATTAATCAAATTTTTTACTGATAAGAAAATAGCGAATATATCAGCTTAATTTTTAACACAAATAATATTAATTACTATCATTTAAATCGAAAATTATTATAAGAAATAGCAATTAAACATAATTTTATGTATTAAGAATCATTAACGTTAAAAAAAAGAATTTAGTTATTTAAATTATGACTGGATTTTATTACTTTGTTATTGTTGGACATGGTGATAATCCAATATTTGAAATGGAATTTATGTCAAGTAAAGAAGTTAAAGTAAGTATTAATCTTATGAAAATTTCTTTTGGATCAGATGTATATATTTATGTATTCCCTATATCAAATTTTAACAATATACAAATCTAATCTTAAGTTTATTAAAAAAAAAAAAAATGAAAACTGGCCTAAAGATTTTACCGTCAGTAAAATATTTTACATCAAAATTATTTATGAATAATTTTACAAGTGTTCAAAAATAAGTGAGTTTTCACTATTATTTCATGTGATTTTATTTCTTGATTTTTTATTAATTTGACAATAAAATAGGTAATATTGATATAAATTTTAAGTTTTAAAATTTTGAATCATTCAATGAAAAGCAGAAGTAGTTATCTTATTATTCATAATACAACTGCATAAAAATTAAATTATCAATTTTAATTTGAAAAATTTAATAAATATATATATTTAACAATGAATACACTTTGTTTTAATTTAAAAGTTAAAAATATAGTGAAACATCTTTGTAATTTTTGTTTCAGTGGCTTTATTTATGGTATATAACTTCTCAAAATCCAAGAACAAAATAATAAAATTAATAAATCATAATTTTGTTGAAAAAATCATGTTTTGTATACCTACATAGTTTTATCATTAAAAGATTTACTGCTATTAGTATTTTAAATAAGGCTTCAACCTCATCTTTTGAAATAAAAAAATTAAATTTTTTATATCATGTACCATAATATAATGACCATCATCATAAGTTGCTGTCTGAATTGATTTTCACACTCCAATAACCTACTTGTCATCTATTAATACATAATAGACTATCATATCTATGTGTACATAATAAATATTACACCCCTGATTTGTAAATGTAGACTTTTTTATAAGAAATGACTTGAGTCATTTTTTTGTATGTTTATGTTATTTGTAAAAATTGTGAACAATTCTAGACCAAACCTATTGATATAACTGTTATTTGTGTATATAGTTTAGCTATCAATATACTGCTTTATACAGCAGTATAATATATACTGCTTTTTAAATTTATTTAGTCGCATACACTTATGGGTAAAAATATTTTGTTTTTTTTTATTACTAAAAGTGACTTGTATCCTTTCTCATTAAAAAACATTTACAGTTGGACATCTAAAGAATATTCTTTTTAACTTCCTTGCTTTATTAAGAAATAAAATTCAGAGAAATCAATATATCATATCAAAAAATATAATACAGGTATACTTACATATATGCTGACAATACACTAAAAGTTCTAAATTTTAAATGAGTCACTAACTCATTACTATGTGTTCAACCTTTACGTAACATACATACTCAAAATTAAGTTCTAAAAATAATATTTTATCTATATATTTCTATACTTAACCAATTATATCTATTTAGTCATTTAAGTAAAGAAAACTGTAATATTTCTTCTTTTTATATACATAATTTTTGTTATAAATTAAATTAAATTATTAATTATTTTAGAAAGAGGACCACAGTCATTTAAATCAATTTATAGCTCATGCTTCACTTGATCTTATTGATGAACTTATGTGGAAATCCAATTCAATGTATTTAAAAAGTGTTGATCGTTTTAACCATTGGACAGTGTCAGCTTTTGTCACAGCTAGTCGTATGAGATTCATCATGGTACACGACTCTAAAAATGATGAAGGTATCAAAAACTTTTTTACTGAAGTGTATGAAATGTTCATAAAGGTAATAATTATAAATAAATACTTTTCATTTCATTAATTTGTTAATTATTTTTTAGTATGTAATGAATCCATTCTACAAACTCAATATGCCAATAAAATGCAGTTCATTTGACAAAAAAGTACAATTCTATGGTCGTAAATATTTAATAAGTTAATATTTATGTTGCCATCAATTTAATATTCTATGTGATATATAAATTAATTTCCATGTATTATAATTATATAAGTGTTAGATTTACATAAAAACTAAACAATATAATCTAAATTCATTGTTTCACAAACTCAAATTCAATTTATTAATAAATTTTTATTTATTTGGGTATTCATGTAAAATATTTAGTATTTATTAAAAATTAAACAAACAACACATAATTATTAAATAGAACAATGCACATTTAAGAAAATGACTAATTGTTCTTAATGCATGTTATAATACAAATATTATTTGAATTTGTATTTATTGATTCCATTTCAGTGGTTCGTATGAATCATATGGAACCTGTAACATTAATATTTTTTTAAATTTAATACTAATTATAATTAAAACTATTATGTCATTATCTTAAATATCTATTATAATAAAAATATTCTTGCCATCAAAGTGTGTGTTATGTTTTGGAGCAAAATTTATTGTTATCAACATTTTGATTAAATTTAATTACATAAGTATAATACACCAAATATACCTTTTACAAATTCAGATTGTTTTACAAAAATTTAATGTAATATGCAATAAAATAATGTAAAATTTATGAAATTCTATGTCATTCAAAATTGAAGAGCTAAATGCAATAATAGCCTATTCCATCAAAATGTTAAAATTAGGATAATAACACTATCTTATGAACAGTTAAAAATATCTTAATGTAATGTTGATTTTTATAGTACTGAAATAATTTTTACTATTTCCATTGTACTTATCAATTTGTATATTTTTGTAATCCTGCATTTTAAGTTTTGTGATAATGTAACAAATGTTAATTCATTAATTAAAAAAAAAATTTTGGATTAATATAATTTAAATGCATTAATACTTAATACTGTATTCTTACCAATATTTACTAATTCTTAAATTAATTTTGTTCTGAAATATAGTACTATTTTTGTAAATTCCGAAAAAAATAAAAATCTGTATGAAGCATATTTATTGTTTAGTGGCATAATTAACTATTACTCTCATTCCCTTAATTATTTTTAATAGACACTATATGAGGTAAAATATGTTTAAATTAGTTAAGGGAAAGCTAATTTTAAGAATTTTTTGTTAGACAAATTCTCAAAATCCACTTACTTTTATTTTTAGGTAACTTTTAATGTTGACCATAAAAAAGTGAGTTGTGACACTTTTTGTTGGAGACGTTGACATGGAATTAACAAAAAATATAATTTTTACATAAAACTGTTTAATTTGGAGCAACATTTATTAAGCTGTATTAATTGTAAAGGATAAATTTACCTATATTCTAGCGTTTCTATAATTTTGAAAACACAATTCTAAAGTTATTGAACATTAAAAAAGCCACAATATTGTATATTTTATTAAAATTTACTGGTGAATATAAAAAAAAGAAATGATGTAAACAAAAAAATAAAAACGATAGATCACAGATAATATACTTAAAATAATTTATTTTAAATTTTGTGACTCTAGCATTAATATATATATATATATTTATATATCAAAAGTTGTCCTGCGCAAAACAGGTTAATAACACTATTTTATTCACTGTACGGCGTCTTCTTAGTATCTAATTCTTAATAGATAACTAAATAAACAAATTTTTTGGTTTTAAAATTATTAAATACTGCAGCTATTGTAGCTTCAATGCGAAGTTGAGAAGATATTAATTTTACTGTGATGTGTTTTTTTCATTTATTTATTATTTTTTATTTTTTTGTGTCTGTTACCACTTTTTCTCAGCTCTCATCGAACCAATTTCTTTTAACATTACGTCAAAAGATTACAAATCTAGTCAATTAAAGACATTACCCTCAAAAATTGAAAAAATTTCCTTCGTTCCCCGTAAATGGGGGAATTCTCCAAAAAAATTACAAATTTAAAAATCGCTAAATTTCTACATTTTTTCAATTTTTTTTACTTAAAACAGCCATAACTTTTTTAAAAATTACCATATCAATACAATTTTTTTTAATAATACGTGAGGTATTTACCTATTTTTTCGTATATTTTTTTTATAAATCTGACCCTTTACCTACTCACAGGGGGGATTCAAAATGACAACTTTTTCACAAAAAAATAACTTTTGAAAGTGTTCCGTAAATATTGACACATTTATATAAATCTTAAATTAAAGCTAAAATAATATACTTTAAAATTAAAAAAAAACACAGTGGGGACGTGGTATAGTTGAGTCCAGTATTGATGATATCTGATAGTGATAACAATCACTATCATAATAAATTCTTCGATGCAAATCTGTAGATAGTCATTAATTTTAAGAAATTGGTTGATTATTCTAAAAGCAAAATTAATCCTATTTCTATCATTATTCCTAATTAGTAATTGATTTATAACTATAATTTATGAATAAATATCTGTTAAAGCAATTCAACGTAGTATGAAATTGATACATAATAACTTAGTATTGTAATTTTTTCGGAGAATTTATAATAAATTATAGAGTAGTTATTACTTTTATGGTAAAAGTGTAAACAAATTAAAGGGCTTGACACAAAACTTTTTTTATAAGAATTTGTTGTTAATTATAAATAAATGGTCTGCATAAAATTTTCATCTGAGTCAAAAATATACATTTATTATTCAATTTTTCGTGCTAATTTCAAATCAGCAATTATATTTTTTCTATCGCCAATAATTTTTGATAATATTACTAATTAGTTAAAAACTATAGGATATAACTATAAGGAAAATAGTTCTGAATATTTCAATTGTATCATCTATTTAAACGCCAAGAATTACATAGAATTTATTGATATTTCTTTTGAAATGATTTATTACACAAAAAATTGTTTTTAAATTATTACAGATTTTGATTTTTAATATTTTCAAAATAATCAGTGCAAAATATCATTTTTAACCTATATTTATGGTATTTTAAAATTGATTTTTTGAAAGTTAATAAAAAAAAAGTTGTATTTATTACCATAACTTTAAGCTCAATTTCAAGTTTGAAATTTACATTATAAAAAAGAAAATTTTACGAGAATAAAAAAATAGTATTCTTAAGATTAATATGCAGACAGGATATTGTACAATTCTATTTTCTGTAATTATATCAGAAAAGCTTAATATTTTTTTATATTTTTATTGTAATTTTTGGTGATTAAAAATATTCTATTGAAATATTTAGAACATAATTAATTTTAATGATTTACATTAAAAAACCCAATCAAAATGTTGTTAAAAAAATCTACTCAATTGAGTGTATTAGTTGTGATCATTTGATATATCATTAATAAAGTTGGTCAAGTATGAGCTGAGAAAATAAATGATAGCCATAAGAAAAATCACATGGAAAAAAACACTTTTATATATATCTTAAATTAAAGCTTAAGTAATATACTTTAATATGAAAAAAAAAATGTCAGACTTTATTTTGTTTTTATGGTGAAAACAGTCATCAAAGTTAATAAAAAAATACGATTTTAGTAAAAAAATTCTATTTCATATTTTTAACTTTATTATGCTATAACTTATTGAAAAGTGTATGGATCAATATAATTTTTTTATGAGAATTAATATTTATATCCCTCTTTCATACTCTTTTTTTAAATAACACCGTTTCCCTTTATATGTTTATAAAAAATATTTGTTTATTCATATGTTACACTTATAAATTATAAAACTTGTAATCAGGATATAAATAAGAAAATAGAAGATCATGTAGCTTTTGGAATAAATCACTATTTTTTTAAAATTAAAGACTATCTACAGATTTGCATCGAAGCATTTTTTATAATAGTGATTTTTATTACTGTTAGATATCAAATGTACTGGACCCAACTAGGCCTCGTCACCACTGTGCTGGGTTTTTTATTCTAAAGATATAAAATATTTATTGATTAATAGTATTTTCTGGTAGAAAATTTGCTAGATCAAAACGGTATATTTTTAGCAATAATCAAATAATTGTAAACATTGTTATATAGTTTATACTTTAACTTTTTAAAAAAAAATTAATTTTATAGTATAAAAAAAAAATAGGAAGATTATTATTATATGCGATGCTAATTTTAATAAGTGGAATATACACCGCTAATCATTAACAAAAAGGCTAAGCATTTCATTTATTAAATTGTAGTCTACGTTTGATAAAATGAAACTTAAATGTTTCACAAAAGTATCAACAATTTTATACAAACGATAAGTATTATCTACAATAATAAATTCATCCTCATATCCGACAAGACTTGGTTTTTCTACTAACACATTTTTTACAAGATTTTGATACAACTTTTTCAGGTCATCAAAATCAATAGAATTTATTTCCAATGTTCCAGTTGCATTACATTCGTTTCCGAACATTAAACATAACTCTTTAAGCTGTAATTTTATTGTATTTATCTGGAAGTATTTCTGTTCACAAAATGTATACACATCAGAAGAAAAATAATTCTTTAAATTATTGAAATAATTGTTCTTATAATATCCAGTTAAAGTTGTAAATAAAATAATCTTTTGTTTTATTTTATAGTTTGCATCTAACACAAAATCTTGCATACCGTCTTCAGTCATGAATTCGTTTCTTTTATTAGCTATTTTGTCACAAATCATTAAAATATGAGTCGCTAACAACCGAGAGAATATAATATTCATTTGAGCCAAAAATTGAGTGTGCAATATTTTTATACTTTCAAATCTATTTAATAATTTGTTGACACCAATAGCTTCATTCATCGATGTTTTGATCATATTAATAGCATTTCCCCATTCTATATTGTGTCCGTAATTGGTTTGTAAATAACCTAGAGCATCATTTGAGAATAAATAATGATATTTGCGTAAGTATAAATTATGTGTATACATTTTATCACTATTTCTTAAGATGATATTGGACTCGGCGTATATAGACAAAGCATTTATAACTTCATTGCAAACATCTCTCTCGACTACAAAAACTTCTGATAAATTTATAAGTGAATCTGAATTTAATGTTGTGTATCTATTATGCAACAAATGTTGTGGATCTGTAATGTCATGTATGCTTTCTACATTGCAATTCATAGTTGATTTTTTAAGTTCTTGATATATCAAATCTCTCGCTTTCATTAAATCTGGTACGGCTTTAGCATCAAAACTGTATGGGGCTTCACAGTAAAACATTGCAAACATCCATATATCCAAAAGATTTTTCAATCCTAAATTGAAAAGTATTCTTAACATATCGTTAGCAGTTCGGCAAAACCTATATTCATAGCGCATACTCACCAGTGGTCTAGCAGACCATTTATTTTTTACTAACATTTCAATATAATTCATTTCTATTTCAGTCACTAACAATACAGACAAAGTCATGATTTTAATTCCACATTCTAAATCTTTTACTCTGGCCTGAATTGCTTGTTTTAGTAAATCATTTCGCGTCATTTTTTCTACGTTTTTTGGGGATATTGCAAATTTTTTAAGGTGGTCTATTTTTGGAATTCCAAAATCAAATCGCATTAAATCATCATACACTAATTGCAAATTTTTTTCGTCACGCAAGTATTCTATGATAATGCATTGACCAATATGAAGATATATTAAAAGCGGTATGAAACAAAATATAGTCATATCAATAAATTTTCTTGACGATATTATGAAATGTAATTTTACTTACTGTTTACTTAGACACCTAAAAACGTTATATGTTCATTAAATTTATCGGATTTTAGTATTTCATTAATAGGCAAATTTAAAACTGTTATCAAATTATAAATTTGAATTACTCATTTAACTTGAAAACTTATTAATGTGTATTCTATATTTTTATAAATTATTATTTATTTTATATTTATTAATAATAGTCTATTACTAATTTTCAGTGTAAATACGAATTACGTGGTACAATACCATTTGGTATGTGTTTTTGAAATGGCCTTATATCGAGTTCTACTACTATAACTATAGTTATAAATGTTTGCAAAACAACACAAAATAATCATATAAAATTTTATAAATAAAATTAATTATGATACTATAAAATACCAAAATAAAATGGCATAATAATGGTAAAAACGAATTTTGAATTTCAATGGTGGATAATCTTAGTAATAGTCACGTTTTAAATTTTTAATTTCTAAAATTTCTATTGAGATACTTTATTTTATAATCTGATTTTAAGAAACTTAAAATAGTTTTTAATGTATTTTACCCAAATGTAAAATTACAGAATTATTAAAATAATACATACTTGATATCACCTCATTTTTCAAAATTGCGTAGTTACAAAATAGCCCTTCTAACAGCAGGCCAGTATATAGTCGTTATAGTAAAGGATGTATACGTCAAACATTGAAAAACCTTTTTATTGTATTAGAATAATAAAAACTTAATCTTTAGAGCAAGGAAAATTCGCCTTTCCATATTAGAAAACGAGTTATTCGATCTGGTTTATATGTATTTCATAAAATAGATCTATACTAAAGAAAAAAACGTATAATTCTTTGTACAGCTCAATATACGTCTTAGATAAAATATTAGTTCATTATCAAATCATTAAAAAAAATAATTTTTTTAATTATTGTAAGAACAAAATTGTTTGTAATTTTATTTTCTATAAAATTATGAAATTAAAATTAAAGGTTTCCATTTAAAAAAATTAATTTTAAGGTTTTTTAATCCTGGAGAGATGAAAAAAAATATATCTATACATTACTGTAGAATTATTTAAATCAAACATTATTTTTTTTATACAAAATTAAAAATGTTCAACTATTTCCGAGAAAGTTAATGTTTTATCCTTTATGATTTTATCTGTATATTTCCTATTTTCCTCATCGCAAAGTTTAAATTAATCGTATTACTTGGTTAGGGTGCCCCGTTTACTAAACTTTAAGAATTATTTATCAGAGCTCTGTAAAAAAAAAAAATTAATAATGTCCTTCTAAATAAATAAATATATATATATTTTTTCTTTAGAAAACCAGTTAGTTTAATGTTTTTTGAATAATTGTTTAACTTCTAAGATTTAACAATGACTATTCAATAATATAAAGTGTAATTTAATTACCTGCAATATGTAAATCAAATTGTTTTTCAGAATATGATATCAATATTTGAGAGACTTCTACAGAAAAACATTTACTCATAAGGTACGATCCTTTGATAAATCCAGTAATTTTTGAGTAAAGTGATCTATTTTGAATTTTTGTATAATTATATAACGAATATGCTAATTCTAATTAATTGCTATGTACTACAATACTTTCATATAAGTAGATGCGAATTGAACATTTTTCCCCGTCAATTTTTCGAAAGAAATTGGGAGAAATATATATTAATATCGAACTTACGTCTTATATATATAAGACATATATGTCTTACTGAACAAGGTTATTTTTACATCATTTTATAGAAAATAACAAAATTATTTGATTTCATTAATATTCTGTAAATAAATAAAAAAATTAGTCGTTCGTTATTTATTTATATAACAATCAACAACGGAAAAGTTTAATGATGTTATTACTATGTATAAACTCATTTTTCAAACTTCAAATACTATTGTTTGAAACAATAAGATGTAGTATAGAGTCACGTGTCAACTACTTAATGTTATTTCTGTAACAACAAAATGTCAGTCCATTATTTTTAACTATAAATCTAACCTAATCGAAATTCGCATTCTTTTTTGTGAACATGTTTATTGCTATGTGTTGCAACTCTTAGGTATAAAACATGCGGGGGAGTAAAAACAAAAACTTTTTTTTTGAGATTATTGGATTACCAACTTTTGCTAAGTTTTACCATCTAACTTAAATAAACTATTATTTTTAAACCAATAAAACATAGTTAATAGTATTTGTATGCAAAACGTATATATTTAAAAAATAAAATTTAAAACATATTTCAAAAATTTTATTAATTTGTAGCTTATTAACTAACAATTAGTAAGTTAAAATAAATGGAATATAATAAATATTAGACTGAAGAGTATAAATATCAAAGAAAATTAAGATCGTGTTTGGAAATTTTTCAATCATTGCAATTACAATACAAAATGATATGATATAAAAAAGTGGACACTCAATTGATAAATGGGAATAGTAAAAATTTGTCATACAGTTTTAAAGGGTACAGTTCATCTTTATAAATGTAGTCTTCATTATCGCAATAACTACAGGAGAAATTTCTCGGCTAAAGAGCCTTTTCATAATTTTGGGAACTCCTTCATAATTTCTAAGTTCAACAAATCTATGCTTTGATATAAATGATAATTTTGTTAAAATAATAGTGAGGTGATTTTTAATTTATAGTATTAAACAATATCATACAAGATAATAGTTAATGATATACGCATACATAACAACTTGATGATACAAATGGAAACTACAGATTAAAATTACTGAATAAATTTTTAGAAATTAAGTTTTTCTTTTTATAGTTGACACTGTAATTAGCTAACTTAGAACTCATTTCCCAGGGATACAAATGCACAGTTAAAAAATACTATTAAAAAAAACACATTTATAAATCAGAATTTTAATAAAAGACATGTTAAACCATTCATAAATATTATTCTTATTTCGAATAATGTATTTATGTACTAATATAATGATATACATTCATGAAAATATTGACTTGCGAAGACAAAAGTAAACAGATTTTTTATATACTTTCTTATCATCTCTTTTCAATAAAAATCTTAAAAAACTATCTTTCAAAATATACTATTAATTATTATTTTAATAAATTTTTGAAAAAATTCATACAAAATTAATTATAAAACAACCATAATAGTTAAATTAAAAAAATAATTAATTTTTTTATAATTTCAAAAAAAAAAACTTACATTATATTACGAATTGTTATTAAAAAAAAATTCTTATTGACCTTGTCAAAATGAATATTTAGTGAAAACAAAAAAAAAAGCTGGAGACAGGTTCATCAACATAATAATTATAAAAAAGAACCCAGCACAGTGGGGTTGCGGCATAGTTGGATCCAGTATAGATTTAATCTGACAGTGATTAAAATCATAATCATAAAAAAATCTGTAGATATTGTTTAATTTTAAAAAATTAGTGGATTATTCCAAAAGCAACATGATCTCTTATTTCCTTATTTATATCCTGATTACAAGTTTTATGACTTATAAGTGTAATATATATTTATAATATATAAATATATGAAATGGTCCAATTTAAAAAAAAATTTTAAAAATGTCAAAAATTAGCAATTTTTAATTTTGTAATTTTTTTGGATATTTTCCCCATTTACGGAAAACGAGGGAAATTTTTTCAATTTTTGAGGGTAATGTCTTTGACTAGATTTGTAATCTTTTGATGTATCGTTGAAAGAAATCGGTTCGGTGAGAGCTGAGAAAAAGTGACAAGACACAAAAAAAAAATTTTAAAAAATACATCATAGTAAAATTAATACCTTCTCAACTTCGCATTGAATCTACAATAGCTACGGTATTTTAAATACTCCTTGAGAGCAGGTTAAGTGTTAGATTTTCAAAAAAAATGATATCAAATGAAAGGAAAATATCTAAGGTTTCAATATAAAAAAAAGTTATGTTGATTTGGTAATATCTTCAACTAGATACGATTTGTGATCTTTTGACGTATCGTTGAAAGAAATCGGTTTGGTGAGAGCTGAGAAAAAGTGACAATAGACACAAAAAAAACACATCATGGTAAAATTAATACCTTTTCAGCTTTGCATCGAAGCTAAAATTCGCGTAATAATTGCAGTGGACACTCATGAAAATAAATCACGGACGGTAAACAAGACGACTAATTCCGAATCTGGCTAATTTCAAAAACCGTCAGACTAACAGAGGCGTCTAAAAGTCTCAAACCTTTGAGAAGGGTTAAGATTAGTCAGAAATTACAGTAACCAATATAATAGGTTTACACCACGTTTATAATTAGTAGTTAATATGACTTAATAATAGATCTTTTTAAATACACTTTATTTTAATATAACTCCTACTATAGAATGGAGGAGTATGGATTATAAATAAACACCAATACAAGCTATACACACCCACTCTATGTATTACAATGCTTGGAGCTCAATAAGTACTTTTCCTGAAATTAATATTGATCCAAAAAAATGTTTTGTAAGAAAACTTTTCAAACGTCTATTTTAAAACAAAAAAAAATGTGTATTATTAAAAACAAATAATAAAAAATATGATTTTAACATAGTCTAAGAGTACATAAATGATTAAAAATAAATTTACAGCCAAATATTAATTGTATCAAAAGTTATACGAGTTTCCAGAGCTATATATTTAAAGCCCACAGAATGTATTCTCCAAAAAACCTACCGTCAGCCCTGTTCTTAAGTATTAGGATCTTACATTCTATTTTTAGTGTTATAAGTAACAGTAACTACAACTAAAAATCTTTTTCAAAACTGAATCTGATGAAAATAATTATAATTATCTAAGTGTTAATTTTTACATTTTAATACACGGAAAATGTAAATTTGTTAAATATTTTGTGTTATCATGATTACTGGTAGCTTTTTCCCTAATAGAATTATTTTTAACAAACGTGTTAATACACGATATAAATGGTGTTTAAAAATCAATTTTATTAAATTTTAGAAAAGGATTTATATAAATAGTACAGTGGTCTGTATAAAATATATGTGAAAAGTAAAAAAATAAATTATAGGTGCTCTATATTTGATCATGTCCCAGGACCCCAAAAAATCTGAATTGCAACAGTGATGATTGTAGAATTATAAAAGATGAATCTAATTAGAAACAAGATTTTGTTAAAATATTTTAGTATTAAAAACACTAAATTTACACGTATCACATCTGAAGAGCATCTAGAGTTCAATAAATTATGTTGAATGTATTTCTTTGTGTTACAATATCTTAAAACATTTTCAATTATAATGCCATATGAAGACCGAAGAACGGCGTGTAATCGTTTTAAAATTACTTTTTTGGGGAATTTTTTTATAACATTCCATTATAAATTTCTAAGTATACTATTAAAAGAACGTGCAATAGTGAGATTTTAAGAAAAAAACTACAAAACGTCAACATTTACATTACACTTACAATGATCTAGTATGAGTAGCATTTGAAGGGTTCCACAAAATAGAATGATTTTTCTAGATTTAGTGTATATGATAGAATAATACGATTTTTAAAGAAGGTTTTCAAATCAATAGTTCTAACAGTATTATTGATTTGCTACCTTAACTTGAAATATTAGATCGAAGGAATATTAAAGACATGAGTACATGGTTTATTCCATTGTAAGCGTAAATTTCATATTTCTAACAGTAAAATATTCCATGTGTTTCATAATTATAATCAAGTTTTTATTACTTTAGCTTAATAAGTATGAGTTTTAGATTTAACTCTATAAAGTATCTAATTTATATATAAAAGCAAAAGTGCATTATTTTTAAAGCCACAAAACTTTTTCATTATATCAAGGCCTTTTAAATATTGTAATAAAATTTAATCCCCAAGTTCAAATATACTACTTAAAATATGGTCAAAGAAAAAATTGTATTATTAAACTAAGTAATAAAATCCTTTCATTCAATAAAATAATTATTTAATTAACTGAATACTGGATTAAACAAAAATATAATTTCAACTTAATGTTTTAATAAAAAAATTCTCCATCAACGTATTAATAATTGTGAATTATTATTTTTATTAAATAAATAACAATTGTTTAGAATAATTTTAAATTATATACTTACTACTTCATAATTTTTGAACGATCGCTGAATTTTACTACTTTTTCTTTGCATTTTACGGCCGTTATCAAACATTGTATAACCAACAAATTTCTTACCGACATAAAACTAGAGTACAAATAAATTCAATAATTATAAAAAATCTTAACAACCAAAGTATGGGGATTCGGGAAGTTCAAGCCCACTAAAAATAAAATATTTTTACTATAATAAATTCATAAAAAATTAAGTATTGTAAATATAATAAAGTGACGTTTTATACATTCACTCTTTCTCTAGTCAATACATATATGTATATCTACAGTTTTGGTTAAAACAATGCACATCAAAATAATTAAATCGTGCATTTAAGTTATCTAGGTAATACAAAATTTGATAATTATTATTTATTAATTAAAATATCATACAAAAACATTCATTGTAGGGCGACAGGTCAAAATATACTATTACCAAAAATGTCAATATTGAGTTCGATATCAATTCTTATGGTAAAAATGATGTAGAACTCAATAGTAGCATTGTATCTGATACATTTAAACAATTTCTTCGTAAAAAAATTGTCTGAAAAATAAATTTTGCATTATTTTAAGAATGAAGTTATAAACACGAATACCTTATAACTAATCGTGCCGCCTTGGATGAGATGACTTCTATCCTGTGGAAGTCAGCGAAAAAGAATATTAGACCTGGGTTTTTTATCGCTTAATATCCTAGACCCGGAATGATAAAAAAGAGTTAATATGAATGACAATAGCTCAAAGGACTTTTGCTTGGAAAACGAGCAAGGTCATTACGTTTTACACCAAATATTTCAACATTTACATTAGTCTTACGGGTCATTTTAAACGTTTTAAATTATTTACTTATGTTTTAAATTGGGTTTTCTTTTAAACAAGTTTTTTAACAACACTTGCAGAAGACGTCGAACATTAGTCGACGACAATCCTCCTCTTAAATGCAATTAATTTTTTTATATTCAGTCTCTTGTAAAATTTAAAAAAAACGACATTAGTTAATTTTGATTTGCTGCCCTACAATTTTTGATAACTATGAAAAAAAAAAGTACGATAGAATATCAAGAAAAAAATATTTTATGTTATTAAATGTTACTATAACTGTGCTTTCTGCAAAGTAATTAACAGCGATTTTTAATTAAATAGTATTCAATATTTCATGCTAAACTTATGCTGAAGTTGGCGTTCTTCTAAATATATGCATACTATACAAATAAAATATAAATTAATTATTCAAATAACTACAAATAAAAGGTTTCCAAACATAACACATAAAAAATTTATATGAATTAAATGCATTAACATACCCCTCCACAGTTCTTTAGTTTGCATAAAAATTAAATAAATATATTTAACAAAGTAAATGTTTCTGTTTATAATATTAAACAATTAGTAAGTTCAGTGGCGTAATCATATAACTTTTAAGACCTTTAGTAAATATCAAATTTATTGAAAGAAAACATTACTTTTAAGGGTAAATTTTATCGATAATTTTCAAAGCCAAAAAAAAATCTATAGCCATTTTTTTACAATTAAAATTTATATAATTGGACAATAGCCTAAATAAAATGTCGAGATATCTGCATTTAAAGTTTAATAAAAGATTAGTAATGATAGCATACGTAAAAGATTTCTCCTATGTTATTTAGCTCTATCTATTATAACTAAAAATTATATTAACTTTGAAAAGTGTTAACACAAAATAGATAATCTACAAGTAAAATTTTATTTAGGACATTTTCTATTTAATAGTAAAAAAATAACTAGAAGTTTCTATATAGCTTTCAAAAGTTAATCATAAAATCTACCTTTAAATATAATTTTTTTTAACAATAAACTTGATATCTACTATTTTTCATAAAATTAAATTAAATTTTAATCTGTAAATTTTTAATAAAAATCAATATTAAACATAAGTAATGGTGCGTAGTATTTTTAATAAATCTTATCTTCTTCATAATTATATATATAATACCTAACTAAAATATAGTTTCTTATTAATTTAACCCGTCTTCAAGAAATAGGGCGAATTTTTTATATCTTCATTTAAGTTTTATAGAAAAAAAATATAAAACTATCATTGTCCAGTTTCACAAACGCTGATCACCTCCAAGATATATTAAAAAATCTTGTTATTTCTAAAATATTTCCCAAATTACGCCACTATGTATGTTAATAATTTTAGTGTACTTTTAAATTTTTAATTATTATAATGTTATTAATTATTATTTTCGTATTGCAATCCTAAAAATAGTTATGATATCAAACAAAATTTCAATTATTTTTTATATATTTACATTGTACATTTTTATACATTAAATAATTAATTTTAATTTTTACTAAAAAAAAATAATAATTAAAGAAGTAATATTAAAATTTATAAAAATAGAATAAAAGTTATTCAATAATTAACACTTACTCTGCTATCCAACTGACACATCTAAAGGAAAAGAAAATTCTAAGTAAATATATTACCAAGTAAAAGAAACTGATAATTTTAAAAATCTAACCGAAAAGCACTTACTAGCTGTAAAAATCCAATCAATATAATGAGTAGCATAAAAATATAAATAATTTTAATTTAGACAAAATGTATTTTAGTTCGACAATTATTAAAAAATAAATAATTAATTAATAGTTGTACACCACTAATATTATTTTAAATGGTATAAAATTCAATGGAAATTTTAATAATATTTCTAGAAAAAAAAAATTTCTCTACACTTACTCGACTTCCAAGATTGTTCTGAAAAATAAAATAAGTAATTATGTAAACATTATTAGTAAATTATTATAATTAAAATAGTTTAAATAGTAATATAATATTGCTTTAAATTTATATCTCTATTAATAGTAACTGTATAAATTTCTACTACAATTGTCATTGTTTGTACAGAAACTTTTACTTATATATTTTATTTATTATTATAGATAAGTTTAAGAATACTTTAATACAAATATAATAAATGTAGTGCAAAAATAATGACAATATGATAAAAAATACAAATATCAACAAAAGAATAATTTAATAATGGACAATAAAGAACAATATATTCAACAATAAAGTTGGTTAAAGTAAGATTTATATAAAAAAAAAAGCGGAACTACTGCTTTGTATAAAATAAGATATAAAATGCATTAGATTTTATTTTAATAGTGATTTACAAAAAAAAAAAATTAGTATTTTAAATCCATACATAGATAATAAGTATGGGGAAACATAAAACTATTTAATGAATCATATTATTAACTTATACTTTAATAGTTTCAAAAATTTATACTGAAATTTTTCAATATTGTTTATACTTGAAGTTTTGAACACATACATATATATATATATATATATATATATTTAAGATTGCGTGTATTTCTTTTAATGAAACCCAACATCTTAAAAGATTTTTTAATAATAATATTTATTTAAAAGGAATAAGACATATTACAATAAAAAAATCAAAAAAAGTCTAAAAGTCTCTTATTGAAGTAATATATGATATTAGAAAATTATTAATTTTGTAATTATAGATAATAATATTCTTGAACCAAGAATTTTATAGTATTTAAGTCATTGAATCTTTAATTAGGTTGATACTCTATAACCAAAACAATTAAATTTTTTTAAATATAAAATGGTAAATAAAAAATTAGTTCAAGTATTATTAAAATATTTCGTAATTAACAAAACAAACAGTCAAAAACGTAACCTGAATTTAATTTTGGAAATGGAAAGATCCAAACTTTTATCAATTCACAAAAAATGTTTAAACACAGTAATACCTTTTAATTATACTTATGTTTCAAAAGACGAAATTTCGAATTACAATAATGTAAATGCACAGGTAATTTAAAATAAAAACACGTTATAAAAATAAATTCTTGAAATTAGTTTTTTTAATTTAAGAACAAAATAACTGAACGAAAAAAAATACTGAAAATGGGTTCACCTGATGTTAAACAATTGTATTACAATATCCATTGTGATTTTTTTTTTATATTATTCCTTAAACAATAAAGAAATTATTAGAAATTATCAAATAATAAAGAAAATGTGACATGTATTCTATTAACATGAACTTAATATAAAAAATTATTTTGTATCTAAAAAATGTTAACAAATTTTTTTTTAATAAATAGTTTTATTTTTACTGTAATTTTTTTTCAAGTATTTTAATGAATACATCTGAAAAAAATATCTCTAACATTTCTATATAATTTTTTTTTTTTATTGCTATCTCAAAACAATGTTATTTACTAAAAGTCATATCATATCGTTTATAAATAAATTTTAAGTTCTACACTTAAATTACTATTGCTCGTTTCTTTTTAACTAGCTCTGTTTTATAGAAACACCATTTATATCAATACAAGAATAAAAAATAAGTACACTTTTTGATCACTTACTGCTCGTTTCCACTCCATTGGAAAAAAACGCCTTAGTTCTCTGTAAGCAGTATCTGAAAAATAAAATCCATATATAATTTATTTCTTAACATACCAATTTTTAAATTCATATTTTTCAGAAAATCTTTAGAAACATACGTATAAAATGAAAAGCTCTTAATTTATGTACTTCACATTTTCCATAAATCTAATTACAGTTTTAAATAAAGGAAATAATTTTTTATTTCTTGAAAACTCAATTTAAATGTTGTAAGCGTTAACTGTAATTTCCAAAGATTTGAAGTAATATTTTAATATTTAATACTGACACTTAAAAACTTAATTAATCACTAAAACCCTTTTATGTATTGCTGTTCTTATGTTTTTTTTTTTTGCAAAAAAAAATGTGATTTTGATTGTTATACATATACTTGTATAATTTTTTAGTTAATTAATTGTTATACTTGTTACAGAAAAATATTTTTTACTTGTTTATATCGTTCTCATAATTCTAAAATCTGGCACTAAGTATAATAAGCATTAATTATTAAAGTACAAAAATTCCTGAATATTTTAAGATGTGCATACACATACATATATATGTATAATAACTAATAATGACTATTTAAAATAATATTTTACTAGGTCATATTAGAAATAATCAATTGGTTTATTAAAAAAATAGCCATCGATTTCTCCGTGTTAATAATAATAATGTTTCTTGGTAGTTTCACTAAAAGAAATATAAGAGTAACTTATTCAAATTTTGAGTGTATATTTCCAATTAAATTATAAAACGAGAGTTTTTATCTTGTTATGTTAATGAAAAATAATTGAAATCACAATTTTCTCTTTTTAGTTATGTAATAACTTGACCAATAATGTTAAGTTTTTTTAGTTTATAGCAAATGACGATTTAATTTTCGCTAAAAAAATACAATGAAATTATTTTAATAGCTTAAACAATATAAAATGTTTAAAAATAATTACTTAAAATAATTAAAGATTAAAAATGCTTTTAAAATTATAAGCACTTTTGATAGAAAATATCAATGCGTACAATTATTTTGTATTAAATATAATAAAACACTACAATAATATTTAATTATTAATTAATCTTACTAATTTTGAATTATATAAAAGTTTTATTGAAGTTTAACCTTCGAAAGTAAAATGGGACTTATTTTTTTTTACTATTAAATATATTTATATAATTAAATATAATTAAAATAATATAATTTTTTTATAGGTCGATAACAGTATTGTATTGAAACGTTTTAAGTTTTTATAATTTTTAGTTATAAGCAGTCGGTGTTAGCAACATGAAACCAATTGAAACAGAAAGACCATTTTTTTATTATTTTGCGTAAATTATCTTAAGGATCAAATACGTATAAAATTAACTATCAACTCATTTATGTAATCTAAAGATAGATTTAACAATACTCTTATTAAAATTTTACTCAATAAGGACAAAAGAGCTATAATCAACCTTCTGAATAATTAAGTTAACATACTAATATTGCATGGTGCTAAATATGTAACGTCGTGTAAATATTTCTAGTCATAATTATCTAACGATAATATTTGCTAATCCTTCTAACTTTGATAATAATTTAAAATTATAGGGTAATGTTACATAATTAAAGCTTTAGCCACGTTAATGAATAACATGTTGAGTAATTTAGAATATGGTTGTTTTCTGAATTATTTCTAAAATATTTAAAAACAAATCTTTAACGATACAATTCAAAATTATATTATTATTATAACATTAAGAAGCTTTCTTAATTTAACATTTAATAAGAGAGTATTAAATATAAGAGTATAAATCTTAAATGTTGAAAAAACGTTATTTTTTCATTGGTCAAATAATATTTATTAAAAGTGTAATACTTAAGCCTCTTTTTATTTGATAATATAATAAAAATGTACAAAATACTTTGTCTATTTACAAAATCTAAATTCGATAAATAAACATTTTTTTCTAATCAAACTTTTTAATCAATATATAGAGAGATTTTTTTTAGCTAATCTAGAACTTATTGCCTCCTTTTCTAGTATCACAATGCGCACACCTCCCAATTATTATTACACATTATTATTTATTTATTTTAAATAATTCAATATTTTTTAATTTTTGTAATTTTTTACAAAGTACTTCAGAAGTGAAATTGTAAAGTAAAAAAATATTTTTCATTAAACATCTATAATTTTTACTTGACAATTAAAAATTACTTTTTTTATTAATTATTATTATTTATCACGCGTAGTTGAAGTAATCAATAATTAAATATTCAGTTTACTAAGTTAATCAAAGAATTTCTAAAAAAAAAATTACAAACAATATACGATTTTAAAGTACATAAAGTGCAAAAAAGTTACAAGAATAGCAAAATAAATACTTATATAAAAAGCTGAAGTGGTTCAACAATGAAGAGGTTTTGCTTAAGATACTTTAAAAAAGTTTAGTCAAACCTTAGAAAAAAAATAGTTTTCAAAATCTAAAAAACACATTTGAACAAACTTCAAATAATACTGAGAAGTTTTATTTATAAATTATTTTCAGGTATAATATATATTAGCTACGTTAAAGTTCTCAGTGGGAATAAAATGAAATTTAATATTTCATTGATTTATAAATTTATAAAAATTTTACTATAAAAATTAAAGATTTAGAAAAAAATTATACATAGCACATATTAGATATTCCTAAGTGTTAAATATTATAAAATCTAAATTAATTTATCAAACACTAAAATACACATTTATTTGTTTTTCGAGTAAATCATAATATTTTAAAATAATAATGTTATTTCAATTGAAATAACTCTAGTTGAATTGATTATTCTCTGTTTACTTTGATTTAATCTTTGACATCATAGTTATACAAAACTTTGCTGACACGACCCCAACTATATTTTACAGCTTAAGTTTCTATAGTTTAATCTATCTAAAATGGTTCTACTTAAATTTCCCGCATAAATATTATAGAAAAATGTGATGTTTTAATGAACAAAAATTGCAATACTTATTAAGTACATTAACTTGCTAATAGTTGCATTTCATTGAATTTTTTTAGGAAAAAATACAAAATTGTATTGAATTTTAAAGTAGCCTTCATTAAACTTTTACTTAATTACGTCTATGTGAATGATAGCCATAATAATTATTAATGGTTTAACAATAAAAAATAAAACGTATTTTTGTTTTACCCAATTTAACATATATCCCCATATTAAAATCGCTAAGATTTAATGAAAAGAAAAATCTTTTTTTGGTTTTTTGAACTTTTTTAAATACTAATGTAATATATTATAATTTAAAATTGTAATTTTATCATATTAATGAAATATTAAAAAAAAAAAATTAGATTGTTGTTGTTCTCAGAATTTATTTAAATAAAAATTTTCTTCAATTTAAAATAATTTAAACTAAATTTAATTAAAAGAATATTTTATTTATGTAATGTTTATAATTATTTATAGACAAATAATATATTTATTGAGATCTCACTAATTATAATTTACAAACTACTTTAAATTTAAGTAATTGCTTTCATTATGCTAATAAATAATTCATCTGGTTTTAAAATAATAAGTTAATGTCCAAATTATTTAGGTGAATAATTGATAAACTGATTTTTTTTAAGCACAACCTTTTACAATCTAATTTCTGAGACACCAGTAATACCTTATAAGTCATATTACAAATCATTTTATTATATTTTAATACAATGATTATTTTTTATGTTAAATATACTATTTTAGGGTAAACACAAATTTATGGAATGATGAACGGACATACGCCGTATACTCTTCAAAACGCCACTATTTGTATATCAAAATAAAATAATTATTTTAAACACAATTTACATTAATTCAAGTAAAAAGTCAATTGATATATCAATTGATATTAATTATGTTCTTGTATATGAATAATCATCACAATGAATGTATATATAAATTTAGTGGCATCATTTCAAAATGTTTAAGTGGATAAACTTTTAAATACGGTACTATACAAGACTTTTCATTGATGACCTTATTTTTGTCAATAATGGTCTTGAGAAAAAAAATACCTAATTATTGTGAACCACTATAAAATCAGTACAGGAAATTGCATGCCCTGATTATACCAAATAAAGCACCTATGTAAATCAAATGTATTAAATAAATAATGATTAATTTATACTGTAGAAATGTAAGACATTTATAATAAAATTATATAAACGAAATGATAAGAGTTTTATTGATTTTTGAAAAGATAATCTTAAAAAATATTTCTTGTATCCAATAAAATATTTCTAATAAATGCAGTACTATAACATATGAAATAAATAATATTATTTTGTTATTCAATGATAATATAATATAATATTATACATATTTAAAATTATAAAAATTCATAATATCCATACATAACTATAATTATTAAAAAATCACATTATATAATAAAAATTTATTTACCGTTATTTATATTTTGAATACAGTTTATTATTTCATGTGAAGTACACAAAATTGTACGCATTAAAGTTTGTACGATTTCGAATAAATATGTAAGGGAATGTATAATCTTTTAAAAAAATTGGCTACTATTGTAATATTCAACAAAAACTAATTTGTCGACTAGTGTAAAAATATCTATTTTTAATTAACTTTTAACTATATTTAAATGAACACAATGTAGTATAGAAACGTTAAAACAGAAATTAGTTACATTGTCATAAAAACATTGTCACAACAGGAAGGTTAAAGTAATAGTTAAACTCTTATGTACCTCTATAAAATAATGAAAAAATATTTTTTTTATATTTTTAAGTTTTTGTTACCTATAATCGTTTTTTTTTTCATTTAAATCATTATAAATTAACTTTTGCTCTCCGAATATTACAAAAAACATGTTATTTTTTAATGCGACTTTTTTATTAATACTTTAAAATATTGTACATTTTCAATTATTATAACATTAAAATCTGTCAAAAGACTTTAAACCGTAACTTTAAATAATTTCTACTATACCACAAAATTAAATAATTTAACTTATAGTTAAGAAAGTTTTGTTTCCCGTCGAG